TGCAATGATTTTGAGCTAGAACATGCCTTCTGCCAGTACGGGCTCCAAAAGTTACTCAGGAGTCTCGTAAGAGCACAAATCTGTCCTGTAGGGAGAGAGAATCCGAAAAACATCTCTGAACAGGGATCCCTACCACCCTATTCTACTGCTAGGGTCACATCCAATTTCGAGGTGGTAACAAATCCTACTAAATCGCAAGTGAGTTTAAACGGGAGAGTTCGAATTGATTCAAGTAACTTTTTCATCGAGGCGGAGGTGGTGTAGTGACAAGTGGCGCGCTTACCACTCGCGCGGCGCCGGGTTCAAATCCCGGGTCGACTCCCGCCCAGGCCAACCAAGCCTTCTACCCTCCGGGGACGGTAAATTGGTACCAGATTCGTCTGGGAGGATAAAACACTGACTTGTACATCGGCTGGCCACCCCACTACGATTCTGAATGGAAGTAGAATGCGTGCCGCATCCCACAAAGGGATTGATCAACGGCGAAGACTTTATCCTTTATCCTTTAACTTTTTCATCACTGTTTTACCACGACCTTGAATAACATCCACTTTCACATTCGACTTCTCCAGATTAGGCATACTGCATATAGCTAAACGCTCTGGCTATGCGCTCTGCTGACCATGCGCATCAGCCTTTCAACTGAAAACATTCACAACTTAGTAACCTACCTCGATGTGCTAATGTTTGAGCAAAAGACGGGCCGAATTCGAAAATTGCGTACCCTCCTGCAACATCTCCGATGTTGCAGGAGGGTACGCAGCCAAGTAGGTTGATGGGTTGTAAATTAAGAGAAGTTAGACCTTCCTCCCTAAAAACCACCACGTTGTCCGACGCACACATTATGCCCTAGCGCGCGTCAAACACTCGTGAAAACACTACTTGAAATGGATGGAGCAGGTTGGGGAATGCTGTAAATACGGGGAGACGGTCATTACTGTCTCGAGGTCGACCTCAGCGAGCGCCTTAGCGTAACCATTTCATGACAATGTTTTACCACAGAAAAAGGAATCTATGGAAGGCAATAAGAACAGCGATAAGGTGAACCATGAGAGACAAACAGATTTCTTAGAACTGGAATTAACGAAATAGTTTTTCTGAAAATGAATATCATCAAAGCCATTCACCCGGCATCTACGCTTAAGCGGTGTGAGGGCCGTGGTTGATTAAAGGAAGCAAAATCCTAAGAGTAAAAACGGATAGGAGCCTTAAAACTGATCGCACATCGGGTAGCGCCAGAATGGTGAAGAACTCGCCCTAGGAGCGTGAGCGGCCGGTCACAAAGTTCTAGAGAGCAGCCCGCGTAACGCTGCGAGGTCAACTGACGAGGCGGGATAGGTGACTTACAGCCCCCCCCCCCACCCGCTAAAGTCGCCCTGATCTCTATAATGGATTCACTGTGGCCGACAATGTGGGAATCTTCAAGAACAGCGATTTCAGTTTTCTCATCCAAGGCTAAAAGTTAGTAGACATTAGTTGTGCAACCTTAGATTCTAAATTTGTTCATACTCATAAATTTCATACTTCACTTGTTCTCTATTACATGCGGGAAAACACTTGCATTGGCAAGGCAAACAAGATAGAGAATTGAACAATCAAGTCTTCACGAGCAAAATATTGTCATTGATTTTCACCTGGGGCAGCTTCCAGTCCTTTTTTTTACACCTTATGCATTTCATGCATGAGGTATGAAAGAACCAGTTCATATCGGAATGCAACAAGGGTAGTTGCGAGTCTAAAGATTTCCCATTCTCCTACTTCTAAACCCTCGCAGGATCGCCGCATTCGCATTTACTTACAATCCTTATCACTGAACTGAGCCGCGGCGTGTCAGCCGGCATGGGTTTGGCGCGGGGCCAACCCGTTTTCTCTAAGTTGTTGCAGCTTCAGTAGTTCCACGAGTGGGGGAGGGGGGAGAGAGAAGGGCTGCGCTGCGCTGAAACCCAGAAACCCATGGCCCACTATGCCCGGACCCACTTGTGATAACGATCTTACTTGTAAACACCCCTTCTTGACTTCAGATATGGACATCAGCTTCACAGAAGGAAGTTGTTCGAGGGCGACTACAAAAGTATGATGGAGGTAGATAAGTAGCACAGCTCTCCCAATAGTGAAGTCCGGGGTCAAATCTCGGACCGGCTCCCGTCCGTACTTCATCCTTCCCGTGTCGCTTAATTGCTAACAAACCTGTCCGCCAGGATGAACACCTTAATGTGTTAACCGGCTGCCTCCGAAAACCATAGTATAGTTCAAACTGGTTACTGTTCAATTATTATTACAACATCTCAAAAAGTTTTCTTACAGAAACTTTGCCTATGAGGGTAACTCGTGGGCTGATAACGAATATGACAGCCGTTTCTGGAGCCGGCGCTATGGAGCCAAACTTGGTGCTACCACTTTTTTCACCAAAATCGGTATAAATTTGTCCACCAGGGCTATTAGATGATCTGACTGCAACATGCCGTCCCTTCATAGCGACGGCACCATTTGGCGCCAGAGCAGTTCCTACCCCTTGGCGCTACTGTCTTTTTCACCAAAATTCGGATAAACTTGCAAACTAAATAGAATCATTCGCCGTTCTGGTCACGGATGGTCCTTTTTAGCGCGAGTATCAACCTAGAGCACTGTGGTCGATCCCCTGAGGCTAAGATCAGCCAGGGGGAAAGAGAGAAGCACCCTCCTCCCTTCCAAGGGCAGCCTTCGCAGCGCTTCACATGAAGATGGCACCCGGAAATGAATTTCACTTTCGTAACTGGGTCTCCAATTAACTTGAAATGCAAACTAGTAGCGTACTCGGAATCAAGAAAAAAAATCGTGGCCACGATTCGGCGCTTGATTAGGCGCCAAATGGCGCCGGAGCCAAAAGCGGATGTCATATTCTTGATCTGGCTCGACCTGCAGTTAAACTTCCAACCGAGAAATCCTCTCTGAGATTTCGGGGTGGTAATTATTGAATCCTTTCCTTAAACGCTACTACGACTCTGAATAAAAAAATGAATGGGTTGAATCTGCTACACATCCCAAAGAGGGACCAACCAACACCGGAAGCCTAAACTGCAACTTTTACACCCTGAATCCCTGAGATGCGGTAGGCGTGGCTGCATACTTCAACCATTCGTGGCCCTGACTACGGTTTTGTGTAAGATTTTCATTTTGAGACAACTGTGCTCCTTTCTCTGTCCAGACACTGAACAAGATGACAGTTGTCTCAAACTGAAATATCCCACGAGAATATTCTGTGCCATGTTCGGATGCCACGCCTACTCCGTCTCAAGGATAAGGAGTGTGGCTATGAAAACATGTTCGAAGAAAACACTTGCAATCACAAAATTTACAATTGATATTTATTGTCTTCAAGGTTTCAGAACATTTGTGGTTCTCATCAAAACCCAAAACGTCATCTGAAAATGTAATCCTCCGTTTCCGATAGGGGTAGAGGGAAGTTAGATGTCAAAAAAAAAAGAAAAATAAAACATGTCACCGATTATGTTGATTAGACGTCGTTCAATAGAATCTGTGAAGACACTTACGGTTAGATCATATAAACATTCAAATTAATTTTGATTAGAGAAAATTTGAGATTTGCTGAGAAACGTTATAGTGTTGAGCATTGTACTGATGAATATTAAACTTGTAAATACATGACATTGCAGGTAGAGAAAAGTTGGCAAGCATGGAAGGTGAAGAAGCGGTAAATTGGGCGGTTTAAGAGTTTGCTGTTGGTTTCTCGCATCACCTCACCAGTACCGGAGGATAAGTATTAGGAGATGAATAGGCTTTAAAGCCTTTACTTCTATTCATACATATGGAAAGAACGAAGAGCACCACTCAGGGTGGCGCTATTCCTGTCCGATATCCCGGCCCATATCAGACGCCGTCGATTGAAATGAACTCTTCCAGTTGATAGTGGCTCAAGAAATGTGCCCAATCGACATCTTTTGCTCTGAAATATCCTGATTAGTAAAGAAGAGGAATAGAAGGGCTTTATAGCACATGCAGGGGTCATGCTTGACAGTGTAGGGAGGGTGTAGAGATAGCATAAGAAGGGTTAGGCGATTCGCAGTGTACAAAGTGCCCATATTGATCGACCAACGGGATCAACCAATAGGCGCGTTCGGCTCGCAGGGTTCGTCTAACATCTGTAGGAGGGATTAGAAGAGAAGCGGATGCAAAAGATTCTAGGTTTTCGTGGAAAAGCTACTGGTTTTCATTACAGTTTCGAAATGCACCGGGAAAATGTTGTAGGTAGGATTACTTCGCGTGTGTAATTCTTATTAATTACAAAAATCCAGGCGACGTTAACAAAGTGTACAGAACAAAAATGGTTGTGGATGTGTGTGGAAGTATACTGTAGAATGTGTCACCAAAACTGAGGCGAACTGAAATTATTGTGCAATTAGTAAGTAGTAGAAGAAACAGCTTACTATACTCACATTTGCAATTTGGAAACGGTACTTTGCGTACAGAATGCATCGGTTTTATAATGACATGATTTGTGGCATACCAATTTACAGTCTGAAAATTACTTTTCATTTGTTATTCGCTTGAGGTCAACATGGTGTAGACGTGAGCCTTGCGTGTAAGAAACGCCTGTGATTGGTGGATTGCCGCAAGCACCAATCACAGGCGCTCGCTCACCGCGCCACTCAGTTCTATTTGAAAGTTCGCAATGAGCCTTTGTGGAGCAATGGCAGAGAATTTCCGACGGATATTACCACCTGCAAAATAATACTCACCTCGACATTGATACCCCTGTTTAGCAAAACTTGGTTTTATCCGTTGTTGACAGACGTTGCAGTTGATACCCCTGAAATTGGACTCGAAGCTCACCGAATTATTTCCGTTATTTTTCGGAGTAAACAGGTATTAAACGGATTCACGTGGTTCACATGAACTAGTATGGTCAATTTTGTAAAGGTCAGCCTGGTTAACCACTTACCCTCGAATTTTCACCGCTACAAATGTGTGCTCGTTGTAAATATGCAGTTTCTTCCCTCGTCGCATGAGCCTTGATGCTGCTGGCTCATTTAACATTGTCGGAGGGATAAGGAAGTATCTGGAAGAGTGGGTAAACTAAAAAGTTAAACTAGAGTCGGTTGCTTGAGTAATATTTTATGAAGTGCTGTACAACTAAGTACAGTGCGAGAACAGAAACTTTATGTAAGCTCCCAAAGTGCTTCATAAAGTTTCAAAACCGTACAACCCCGTGACATGTATTCCGTAGAAGTAACTATTAGAGCTACTATTGAAACCTTCAGATTGGTATTATTGCGAATACAAGTACAATAAAAGTAAACTTTCAAATAAGTACATAGCTTGGCTGAGTCCCTTATTGTTAGATCACCTTACTGGTGCCCTGTTCTTCCATTAAGGAACAATGTTGGGTGTCCCCTGACCTCCCCCTCTCCCCCCTACAATCATCATGGACTGGGCTAAAAAGTTTGAAAAAAATCAAGAAGAGGACACTTACTTCAGCTGTTTGTCATGTTCCAGTTCAAGGACCAGAGTGCTGTGCTGATAGAGGCTTTTGCTGGATTCACCAGATTTTCCTCCAACTGAATGGGTTTCGTGATATCGAGGCTCTCCACCAGGACCTAAACGTCTGTACATACTGCACACAGAAATTTAATCACAGCCATAGAAGTTATAGACTGATATGTGTTCGCGAAAGACAATTCAACGTGCAGTACGTGCAGTGTGAAAATGGTGTTTTCACTTGCGAACGTGGAAAGATTACGATCCGGATGGTGGAAAAGGAAAACATACGTATCGATCTAAGAATTACGGTATCCGGAAAAATAGCTGACAAATGGTTGGGTAGTGGGGGGTAGTTAGCGTGCCATGGACTCTCCCGGATCGCGCGAATTCTCACGAGTTGCTGTGGGCTTCCCCAATGGTTCTGATTTGCGACATTCCGAACCTACTCAGTTGCGGGTTCTCGGGATTGCGCGTTTCCGAATCTGCTTGCTTATGAGCCTCACAAAAAAACAGGTAGAAGGAGGTCAAATTATTCTCAACTAATTCTTCATGCCGACACTTCATACTTAGTAGGGAATAGGAGCTATCCAATAAAGGCAGATATCTGCCATCTGGGAGAGTACACCCAAGAGCAACCTGCTCCAATGCACAGTATTTGGTGCGAATTTGCAGTGTGAGATGGATGTCGTTCGGAGACGTTGTTTTGGGTGGACAAGCAGTCGTACCTACGCCACCATTTCACCCATTCCGACGCTGTACAGAGTACAGTAGTACGAGTACATATGAATACATTATTACAACAATATCAGCCGCTACTATCATGTAATAAGGAAACTTTGAGAAATATCAAGCTAGAACCTGCGTATCGAGTCCTACTTGGATCACGACTGGGGGGTAAACTGACTGCTTCTTCGATTTCAGCTCCATGAAGATCTACTGATTTTGACCTGAAGGTAAAAACCCTACATCGATGGCAATGATGTGTCTAATGGTGCAACTTAACAAGCATGCTGGTTATCTAACTCTTTGTTTGACTCCGCCTTCTACCACTGATTCGATCACGTAATTCTCCGAAGAAAGATCGTTCTCGCTTCTCTGGGAGAGTGTCAAGTTTTCTCTTATCTCTTCCTAGAATACTGACATTTCTTAGCACGACCATAATAATAAGAAAGTAGGTAGGCAAAAAACAGTGTAAGCAGACGAAGTGGATCACCTCGACCTCTCCTGTCTAATGTTGCGGTTTCAGTTGGTGGTGGAGGCGGACGAGGTAAAACGGGAGGTGCAGTGGTTGTAGTCGTTGTGGTTCGATTCGGTGCTGCCGCTTGAGTAGCCGTGGCTGCACCCTTTTTCACACTCTCCTGAAATTTGCAAGTGACACGTGTCGAGCCAGAATGCGGTTTTTTTCTGAAGAGAGAGGATATCTTAGGTAGACGCTGATCCTGGTGGAACGCACAAAGTGGGGAGGGGATCAATAATATTTTGTGACTGTAATGGGGTGTCAAGCCGCCTCTCACTAATTTTTAGGTGACTATAATGGGCTTGACACTCCATTATAGTCACCTAGAAATTGAGAAAGTATTATATTTAAGAAAGCCAAGCAGACTATCCTGGACTGCAACAGTATTCCTCACGAGAAGGTATAGCATTCGATGGCAAAACGTTTAACCTCTTATCAAAAATCCTGAGTTAGAAAAAAAGGTTCAAGGTTCCTCGCGTCGCTCCCTCCAGTCAGAGCACACCACCGCGCTGCATGCCCCCTCCGCCCTCCCTGATAATGCAGTTCCAGAGGTGACTAGGCACTAGGACTGCATTATCATTACCGCCTCTGAGACGTATGGACCAACCTAATAAACGTGCAGTGCGCAAAGAGGAAAGAAGAGAGCCGTTGCTAGTTCCTGCTCGATACCGCTGCTAGGACTATCCCAAGCTTTTCTAGATTTTCGCCTCCAAGTAGCCCTACGGCGCACTTCGGCGACTGGGGGAGGGGGGCATTTTGTGCTTTCGTTGCTTCATTAGTTCCGGTACAAATAAAATCTTTGAAACTGAGATTAATAGACTATGTTGTAAAATCTAATAAATGAGAATTATTGAGGGGGGTCGAAAGCAAAGAGATAGCTCAGCTTCCGTTTCGCACGTGCCCTTAGACGGAAGCCGAGCAAAAGCATATTCCTCCTTCCGTGCTCTTCAGTAAGGAAAGGAAGAAAAAAATCAAATGTTTAGAAGAGTTCACAAGTCTCACTCTGGTGAAGCCTGTGAACGCCATCATGGTAAAACCTGTCAACTCGTGAAGAGACTGTCTAAATAGTAGACACGTCGATGGGAAGTAGCAAAAGTGCGAAATGGCCTTCCCCTCGTCGCCGAACTGCGTCAGCTCCTTCTCTAAGCCAAGACTCAAATGCGAATATGTTTCAAGTCACATCGCGCCACTGGGAAAAGGCGAACAAAACAATCGCAGTTCCCCGTCGTGCCGTGCCACGGGGAACCAAATCCTCCATGTGTATTAGTTTGCTAGCTGGAGCACTAAAGCTCATGTCAGTTCAAGCAGATGCATAGCTCATACAGAGTGTCATCAACCTTTCCTCTCCCTTCTACGGGAGATGGCGAGAGATTCGCAATTTGCCGCACCACCACGCGCGGCGATGGGTGCCGCGTTCGCTTAAAGGCAGCGTCCGCGATCAACCAAAGTGAAAAAACCCTCCAATGAAAACGAACGCGGAGTACGCAACCACAGCGGAAATCCCACTCTTGCGGCTCGAAATCGATTGGTTGACGAGGGCGGAGTCAACAAGGCTGAGCTGACGCCTCCTTTCCTGTTAATCCCGCCCCGACTGGTTAACAGTTATCAGTGCTTGCTGGCATTGATAAACGCTAAGTTTCTGGAGTTCCGAGGCGGCGACGTGTATTGGAGAACTCACCAAAGGTCTGCGAAACTCGTCCACATGCCTTAAATTTCGTAGGGTCTTATTTCACGCTCTTCCACACCTTTTTCCTACTTTTTTTGATTAGTGCTTCATTGGCCACCTGTTCTAACAAATTTGACCCCTGAGACCTGCCAAAGTCCATCGCGGGCGCTGTCTTTAAGTCGTGTTAACCTGTCGATTGGAGCACTGGACCGTATGTAAACCGTCATCATAGACATTCTGACTATTTTCGGCTTTGAATTGTCTGTTGGTGCCACCTACATACCAATTGGAACCATCGTCATTTGCGGGCGCTACGTCGCACGCGACGCCCACCAGGCGGTGAATTACGATTTTCTTGTCACATACCCACCCCCCCTCCCCCTTCTACACTCAAATTCAAACAGCCGGGCAGGACAACTCGTCATCGCTTTCCGCGCCCAGCGTGACATATTACGGTTGTCTCGTCACACACCCCTTAACCGGCCGCTTTGGAATAAAGATTCAATATAAAAAACAGTAACACTAAGTAACATTTTCACTGCTCACCCCAATCTGACTCATTTTTCCATCGTTGTTAAACTGTTGATCAAGAATACGATGAGTTTGTGGGTCAACAGCGTTCTCCATAGAGCCGTGAACGGATTGTATGGTTGGTTTCTCTTTCAGCTGCTAAAATACAATAAAATATGCTACTGGTACAGCTACACAAAATAAGCTATGTAGGTAGGTACCTGTGAAACAGTCTTAACTACTACCGTTGTGGTTTTCCTCGGTGTCATGTCCATTGATTCGAAGTTATCTAAAAATCATTTATAATTCATATACTTATTACTAGCATACTGATCATGACGATTCATGAGTGATATTAATTAAGAACACACCATGGGGATCGTATATAGCACGCCGTTGGCTGGTTACCGTCTCACGAAACTCGCTTCCGGCACTGTTCCGTATTCTCACTGTATCGACTACTTTGCCCGGAGCCAGACTCTTCGGATCGTAATAGTAATCGAACTAAATAATTATAGCTGATAGTATTAATATTAATAGAAGTATTGGTAGAAGTATTAATAGAAAACACCAGTCTTGAAAAAATTATAAGCAGTATACAATCATATTGAAGCTGATTGTGCAACGTGAGTTCTCGATAAGGGTGCGTGGCGCAAGCTCGTGGTTGGTGGGTTGCCAGCGATGGCCAATCACAGGAGCGCCACGCAACGCACAATCAAAAGTCAGTGAGAAATGACTATATACTGGCATGAGATGACAAAGAATTTAACATGTTCAAAACGAAACAGTCACTGTAAGCTTACCTGCACAGTAAGTTCACCATGTACTTCATCTTTTCGATACGGCCTTCCTTGTAGTTTCAAGTTTTGCACGCGCTGAAATATTGTTGTACGTTCAAGGAAATTGTCTTGGTGTGGTTTGTAGTAATAAAACTTTATTCAATTGTTGATTCCGAATGAAATGAGTGTAAGTTGTAATGAGTTCTATTCGGGGCACATAATCTCGGGAGGGAAGTTACTTGTATACGGCTCCCCCCTCCCACATCCACCATTTCCCTCTGCTTTACGTCTAGCTACATTTCCTATGACTCCAGCCCAGAGACAGAAGGGGAGAGAGATGAAGCTTTAGCTCACTGAAGGAAAAAATGACGCTTGCAACTAGGAGGAACGGGTGTGTACAAAAAAAGTGAGACTAAAACGGGCGAAAAGTAAAAAAAATTGCCAAAAATCTATAAATTCCTCCTGGAAATCCCGTAAATCAATCCCTAGTTCCTTCCAATAGGTTAGAGACACCCTGTTTCTGGAAGCATCTAGACTACGGCACTCCTTATGGGGATCTCCAACGATGCAGTGTCCTGGTCCCAACTCCTATTGATTTCTGGGCACGGTTTAGCCTTTGGAGCCCAAATCTTCAAAGTTTAGAACAGGTTTGACTTAACTATTTCTCGTACGGAATTGCATAGGATTTCATTCCCAGGAAGGTTCAACTCCTGAGCAAGAGTCTCTTGTCACAGGTAATAGCGCCTTAACAGCTCCAAACACCAGATTAGCTGACAAGTTGTCCCGTAGGGTTGTCTCATCCTCAAACACGAATATCACCTTCGCTTGAAACTGAAACGCCTAGAAGTTGCGCTACGACTGCTGGTGTTAAAACTGTTCTGTGGCGCTGATGTTAGGTGTCTTCGTTTTGAACGACTTTTCAGGGGGTCAAACTGACCTCAGAGATGAGACTCTATCGAAATCTAACCCAGAAAAACTTTGACCGAATTTCCGCTTTAACCCTGGAGAGCGAAGGCACTAAAGGGTAAACAGCGACATTTATCACATCTTTGAACAACTCTCAGGAATTAGTTTTCTACCGTTGGTTCTCCACTATGGATAAAACGTAGCCGCCGGTGGGCTCATTCCACGCCTCCTGTCATCGCCCCACTGAGCTGCGACGATATCAACTCACCTGGCCAGTTTTCCTTATTTCATCAAGATTGACAATAGCAAGTCCCAAAAAGTTGTTGTCATCATCGGCTGTATTTTTCAGGCTTGCATCGTATACTTCAAATAGAATTTCCTCTGAAGCAGGTGTTATATCGCTGAAAATACAATTTATTAAATTTTTCGGAAATAATTTCATATTTTTGGAAAATAAATGGTTAATACTCACAAATCATAGGTCTCTTCCCAATATGGGCATGCGTTGATCCCTTTAGTGGTAGTGAACTTCTGAGCTGGTTCGTCCATTTCTATGACAACAAACGGCTGCTGGACATCTGGTGCAGCTAAAAATTTCCGATTTCCGATGCGTACTGAATACTTGCCGATGTGATTGCTGCCTCTTTCTGTATTGGAACATTGTTCTGGCGAACTAGTTAAGTGAACTAAAAAACGTGATAGGAAGGAATGGCACGATTTTATTAGGGCGAAATCATAGAATACACTCGATATCCCAGAGATGAGATGGGCGTGGCTACGTACTTCGTTTAAACTTGGCGACAGTTGCGCTTCTAGCGAGATATTTTCGTTTCGAGATACTGTAATTATACCTTTGTTCAGCACAAGATAGAATGACTGCTCTTTCGGAGTGATTAAACGAAAAACATATCTGCCATGTACGAATGAACGCCACACAGCCACGCCCACTCTAAGCTGGGATAAGCGGAGTATACTGGGCTGAACGCATAGTCGTGTCCCACCAAAGGTACATTTTTTTCCGAAAAGAACCTTTGATTGAAGTGGGAGTTGAGCTAAGTTAATCATTCCAGCTAAATAACCCTTGCTCATTTCATAGGTGATTCACCCACTCAACTCTTACAGCTCGGGGTCCAAAGATGAAAAAAAGTGGACTTCTCTGCTGTGAGATAGCCAAAATTACCTTACAGTGAACCTACTTCGGCCCAATGTTGCCTTCAACTCGTAGTGGGACCATGTTTGAACTGGTTCCATCATTCTGTCATCAGAACTAACTCATAGCTAGACCTACTTTAACCAAATTGTGGAATTATTCTTTGATCCCAACCGCCCCCGATGAAACCCAATCAAAAGCGTGCAGAATGTATTCTGTGCGCTTACGGTTGGATTATTGCCCGCACCGACCAACGACAGAAACGCCAGCCACGTGCCGCCCATTTTCCCCATGTGTGTCTTTGCCCCGCGCAACCGTGGACAGTTCGTGAAGTCAGCAACACTCCGAATACTTCCTTCTTAATTGCGGCGCAAGCTACCACTCAGAAGTCCGGAATAAGCTAGATCGATTGTCAATGGAATAGATTTTTTTTGGAAAAGAATTTCAAAAATGTTCAGCAACTGACATGGTCCTCTTCCTAAGTGCATTGCTTTCACAATCATTACACGCAGCTTGTTCGCAGTAGCGTTGTTGTTGATGTTGGGTGACACAAGCTAAAACTCAGAAAGTGCAACAGTAAAGTTACAACATAGCAAATTATTAGCAACTCACATGAGTTTCATTGAGCTTTTTGAAGATCTCAGGCACTTGAGCAGCAACAGCCAGATGTTCTCCTGATAGTCGCTTCGTATCACCACGAGGTGTCGGAGACGGATTCAATATCGACGAATTCGCTGAGTGAGTCTAAAGTTCGAAAGCTCAGCAAAAGGAAACTAGAGATGAATTGGCAACAGATGAATCTTACACTAAATAGGAGGTTCCTATTTCATTAATCCTTGAATTGTAAGTCAAGACAAATTCCATACTCATCGTTATATGTGCGACGTACTCCGCCGTTGAACAATTAGTAGTGAAAGGGCGCAGACAAATAGCTACGGTAAGGCGTGTGGATGGACGTGCGAAAGCGCGGGGAGTATACTCCGTATCCCTGAGATGAAGTAGGCGTGGCATTTGAGCATGGCACAGAACGTGTCACTCGTGGGATATTTCAGTTTGAGACAACTGTCGTCTTGCTCTGTATTGTATAGAGACACGACCACAATTGTGTCAAAATGGAAATATTTCTCCAAAAGCACGGTAACGACCACATTTAGTTGAAAAGCGCAGCCACGCCTACCCCGAAAACTAAAAAAATTCCCGGAGAACTTTCGGAAAAAGGGCAGGATAGGTAAGGTGGCGGAAGGGAAGCGGGTCGTATAGGATTAAGAAATGTAAAGGATCACCCTTCCTCAGAATTTCGTGAGTGTGCGGGTGGGTATCGGTGTACAAACAGAGGTTTAGTTCCGCTGTGCAACGTACGAACTCCTACCAGTAAGGTCCCAGCGTTTGAGTGGATTTTGTATCAAACACTTGATATAACTGAACAAACCTGATTACGATAGTAGCTCTCATTGAACGAGTCTATCGTTTGATTATCGTCGAATCTCCAGTCTTCCATATTTGGTGGTACTGATTCAGATAGGTTGATATTTGTGACTGCTGACAGTAAGCATCGACGAATTTTCTCTTCAACTAGCCCATGTGAAACTTGTGATTGCTGAAAATGGTGCGCAATGTTAAATGAGAAAGTTGTTTCTAATTCTATTAGGAGGAACTCCGAGTAAGAAAGATGTAAATGGTGAAAGATGATTTCCTTCAAAAGATTTGATGTGGCCTGATCAAGGGTTCATTAAAAACAGTTCCTTTTGCGCGTATATTTGATTGGTATCAAGTAAAGTAAAATCGCTAGTGATGGCAGTAGGAATGAAGTTTTGGAAAAAATTAAAGTACGAATATAAGGAAGGAGAAAGTAGTATCCCCGCGATTTATCGTTGCGGTTAGAGCTTCTTTGAACAGCGGAACTTGTAAAGAAACTGGCCAACAGACTGTTTGGGACACATGGGACAAACGTACTGCATTCATGTCCGAATTTGTTAGTTCGATGTCCATTTCCGGTCTTCCGTTGAAACATCCCATCAGAAAAAGTTGATTGGCGATGCATGCAAAACGGCATTCTACCTGAAATCACTGATCGTGTGAAGTGATCTACCGAAATAGCCATGTTCGAGCATCAAGAACCGAAAAGCAGGCTTTTCAAAAAACACTGACAGGACTCCCCTTCCAACCTATATAATAATTTTAGTCAACACTGCTTAATCGACTTGAAGGGCTGTGCGGCTGATATCGTCGCAATTAGCTGGAGCGGTTCCAAGAGGGACGGGAATAAACCCCTTAGCGGCGTTTCCTTCAGTGAGCAAGCCGGCCTGAGGCGGCACCATTCCGCTTCTCCTGACACCGCCTCGATTGCGAATCTTCTACACAATAAAATGACAGTTGATGTCGTCGCAACCAGTCGAGGCGGAGTC